TATTGTAATGTTGTATGTTTATTTATAATATTATAATACGAACTTTATATACTTTTATTATTAAATTTAATTTTGTAATAAAAAGAAATTGAACAAAAATAAATAAATACAAAGCATTAAAACATTGAAAAATTAAAGAAAAAAAAAACGTTCTAATTTCTTCAATAGCGGTTTCTCTGTGACAAGACCTGATTTTATTCTTTATTTCTTAAAGAAATCTTGACTTGCTTACTTTTCTTTTTTTTTTATATTATTTGCATCCGAGGCATAAAGTTTAGCAAGACACTTAAATAATTAAGGAGTCTCTAACATCAAAAAAAGTTTTTCAAAAATCTTATGTTGGGTCTTAAGTGAAGCAAAGTTATATGAAAATTTCAGATGTGATAAAATTAATATATTAGATCTTTTTTTTTTTTTTTTTTTTTTTTTTTTTCTTTTTTGTCTTTTATCAAAGCTTTACAAATACGTGATCATAAATATAAACTAGTTCGTTTACATTGTATAAAAAAAATACCGTACATATAATAAGAAAACTTTTTTTTAATACAAATAATAATATATATAAAAAAGTAACACTGTTAAAAGACGCGGGAAACTTGCAGAAGACCATTTTGGTCTTGTCATCAAGAAACCGCTTTTAGTTGCGATATTTTGTATACTTAATTTATTAAGAAATTTCAGTTTGTCAAAGTCTCATGGTGGCATAAGAGTCACACATAAAAAGCTACTAGATAATCAAAAACAAAAAACGGAAAAGAGCTGTATTTGATACACATAAATATATAGTTACATGGTTTGTTATACTTAGTATATTGACATGTACGAAATATAAATAAAATCTAACATTTACTTTGCTTTAAAGTGGATTTTTTAGGGGTTTTTAGTTATTTGTTTTAATATACGTTTGTAAAATTGTTTAAGTTTAGAGCAAGTTTTTTTAAAAGTGTTTTCAGAGAATTATGGTTAAGTAGTTTTGTAATTATAGTATTTTTAGCTATTAGTTTGTTGTAGAGGTAAGGGCCGCGATACGAGATGGAGAAACGTGATAGTTTTGTTTTTTTATATGGTACTTTAAAATTTCCTATTGCTCGAGTTTCATATTTATTTCTATTGCATTTAAAAAATTCTTCTGAAAAATGTAATGGGACAAGTCCGAGTTTATATTTGAGCATGAATATCAAATTTTGGTAAATGTTAATTTTGTAGACATTTAGTGCATTTAGAAGCTTTAGCAAAGGTTCGGCATGAGTAAATTTATCTTTATTAAATACTATTCTTGCAGCATGTTTTTGATGTCGATAAAGTGCCACTAGGTTGGATCTATGGGTACTTGCCCATGCTATATTACCATACGTATAATAGGTTTGAATGAAGGAGAAATAAAGTAGCTTTAAATTTTTTTGGGGTAGCATCGGTCTAGCTTTGTAAAGCATGCAAATGTTGTTTCTTATTTTGGTATTTAATAAGTTTATGTGAGCTTTCCATGAAATATTCTCATCGATAAGTATTCCTAAAAATTTTGTTGCTTTGGTTCTTTCGATAAATTTATTTTCTATTTTTAGAGACGGTAATGGAATTGGTATAGATTTTTTTAGATCTTGATGCGTAAAAAATGACGTTTATTAACTTAAAATGAAAAAAGTGCATTTTTACCAATTTTTTTGACAATACTTTTTTTTAACAAGTTTTTATAATGTAATTACAGTAGAATAATGTAAATACTGTAGTATAATGCAGTACAGTCTACATCTTTATTTACAAATGTTTTACAATTTTGTATTTACAATGTAAATACAAAATTGTATAACATTTGTAAATACAGATATTTGTTTATACAGATTTGTTTGTAATTACAAACAAATCTGTATATCTTTATATTTATATTTTGTTAACTATGATTAGAATGTCTTAATACTGCGTATCTTAAAAAAAGATTAAAAAAAAGCCTTTTGTCAAATTATTGCACAATCCACTATTTAAGTATAAAACTGCATTAAAACCAAAACTTTTTTTGTAAATAAGACTCCAGTTTTTTGGAGTTATAGAGGGTTTTAACCATAATTAAATAAGCCTCATGGCCTTAATTACTTTAGGAAAGTGAAGTAAGATTAAAAAAATGAGTAAATTATTGGATAATTTTAAAACATTTTTAAATTTATGAATGAATATTTTAAATATGGGAATTTAAAAAATAAAATTTCTTTAAAAAATTTATAAGAGTATAAATTATTATAGTTAAATTCTATATTGTATTAAACTTCAATTATTATCCTCAAATATTATTTGTTTATTTATTTTTTATAAATGGGTATAATAATAAAAATTGATACAAATTATTATCTTTTAACTAAAGTTGTTTATTTATCTTTTATAATAGTGTATATAAAATTATTATTAAAAAAGTGGTATGTTGATTTATTAAAATGGACAAGTTAATATTTACATTAAATAACAAATAATTTTTTTTTTACTTAATTTTATTAGAAAACTACTTTATTTAACATAACGCTACTTTGGTATACGATATACGGGGTATAAGATCTTATACATATGGGGTATACGATATACATGGGAACGGGTATACGTATGTAAGTAGTATACATATGTGTGTGGTTAAAGTATATACGAGTTATAAAATATACAGGGTATAAGGTATACGATATGCGGGGTATACGATCCTATATATGATTTAACATACGAGATACAGATCATACCATACAATGAAACCAAATGAATCGAAATTAATTCTGCATAAATTGCATTTTAAAAAATTAAAGGAACCTCTAAGGTTATTAAGGTAAATTAAAGGTATTATATATAATATATAGATATAAGGTTTATTAAAGGAACCTCTAAGGTCTATCCTCTAAACTCTCTAAGACTTTTTGCGCTATCTACACTAAATTTCCCAGCAAACAATCTATAGCGGAATTTTAGTTGACCCATATACCGCTAATTTTGCTCATTGATTACTTAGTGGACCGTTAGTAGCAGCCGCCAAACGTGGCTAGCTGATGATTAGCCACTTTTAAAATGTCGAAAAATTATTGGCTTGCCATTTATAGCCACTGCCACTAATGGTCCACTAAATAACCGATGAGCAAAACTCCAACGAACCGCTAAAAAATGCCTACATAGGTTCAATGCAAATCCACTAAAACATTGTTTGCTGGGTTGGGTATTCAAAAATTCAATCCGTTAATTCTTGATATAGCAAAGATTCTATCCCCTTATTCATAATATAGTACAGATAGTACAGAACCAATTGTTAGATACTTTTATTCTTACTGAAACTTAGATAAACCCAGACGATCCCGCTGTAATTAAAGAAGGTATAGCGCCAATCAGTTTCGAAACCATTGTTTATCTGCCTATGAACGTACACCTGCTATACTATATTTAGTACATAATATTTATTACATTTTTTCTATTCATCGATGATATCCAATTATTCCGACTAGCATATTATTTTTGGAATTCTATGATTTTCTAGAAAAACGTCAAACATTGTCTGGATAAATAATTCTGTGTCGTGACTTTAACTGCTTGGATACCACCATCAATCCAAGACATGTTAATATTCTTAAGCCCTAAAACATGATACAACGCGTTCAATCATACCTTGCATTTTACCAACAACCGGTATTGACAACCTGTTTGATTTTTTTAAAAAAATATATGAGAATAATTCTAAAAACTAAATATAAAATACTGGAACCAGAGAGAAAAATAATAAGTCAATATTTTATAAGCAAACTTATAAAAAAAGTTACTATTCAAGAAATACTTGCTACAATCCCAAAACCTGATTTTATTTTTGAGCTATCTCTCCCTGCAGAAATTTTTAAAACATTTGATACTGCCACTCCTTCAGATGTTTCGCAAGTAATCAAAACTCTCAAACCCAAGACATCGCTACTTGATTATTATTCTAACAAACATTCTTAAATCATGTTCAGAATTATTCAGTTCAATTATAGTTCACCTGGCTGACCATTCATCCGAATCTAAAATTTTTCCAGGCTTATTTAAGATTGCCGATTCCCACAAGACCAGAACAAGCACAATTTGACCTCACTGATTACGCGCCCCATATCAAACCTCAATACAATATTAATACAACCCAAGTAGAAAAACGGTAAAAAGTTACCAACATGGTTCAGCATGTGGAGCAAGAAAAGAAATCAACCATAAGCTTACCAGAAAATTGACAAAAACGTAAAATTTCTTTTAAAATCAAGTTATCTTGTTTTTAAAAAAGTTATATGTTTAGTAACTTGTTCCAATCCAGATTGGAACAAGTTACTAAACACAACTATTTTAAGCAACACAGTCAATATTTTGAAAACGGATATGATAAATACAACAAACAACTATTAAGCAGGCAATTGGCTTAAATTCTATAGTATAATTATAAAACCCCAATATAGCCATATTGGCTATATTGGGGTTTTAAAAGTTCTCCGCTTCCACAGATGAATAAATCTGTCGAAGCCTACTCTTATTGCTATAATCATTATTAATCACATTTATAATAACATCATGTATTATATATAACACGTTTTTATTACGTATTATACATAATACGCAATAAAAACGTGTTAAAAGTTAATATAAATGAATGGAAATAATTGTTAATTGAAAGCAAAAATAATAATTATAAAAAGTTATTTACAAAAAAAATCTGAATATTTCTCCCTTTTAATTGTGCGGCTTGGAGAACTTTTGCAGTAACAACAATATAAAAGATATATAGACTAATTTATATATAGACTAGTTTTAACGAAAATCAATGATTAATATTTTGTATAGGAAGCATTTTAATTGAGAAATACTTCCATAGACAGCAATTACACATAGATAACTTACGAATAAACGTTATTTATTATATTTATATTTTTCAAATTTATTTTTCCATTCCTTTCTTACAATTTTTCATTTAGCGTGGAATCTTTAAAAGAAAGGTGTCTGATTGTTTCAATATTTTTTATTATTATTAGGGGGAACCATTTTTAAATTTTTTTGATTCGGTGGATTCAGATCATCCAAGAAGGAAGGGAGAGAGCGATTTTCAGGTTTAAATCATAAATCTTTTTTATTTAGTTTTTTACACTGTCATAATCCATGTAACCTTGTCTTACACTGTCATAATCCATGTAACCTTACAATTACGTCATATTGATATCCCAAGTGTCCATTTTTTTTTTTTTGCACTACATAAATTTGTTAAAATTTTTATCATTTTTAAACAGCCTTCTTTATTTACTTTCATTTTTAAACACATGCTTTGTTAAATATCTAAATTTAAAGAAAAAATTATTTTAAAAATATCGAAAGATGGGGAAGGGGGGGGGGGACGGCAACCGTCTCCCTCCCCCTCCTTTAGATCCGTCTTTTATTCTTGTTATATTTAAAAAAAATGGTTATGGTATTATATTTTCTATAATTTGGTGCTTGTAAAAAAATGGTTGTAGGAACTCTATAAAAAGGTTTCAGTGGGAGTTCTATCACCCACAACCACATTTGGTGATTTTTTTTTTCGCATAGTTATTCTTTTCACTTCCTAAATAACAAATTATTTTTTTGCAAAAGATACATACCTGGTTAGTTCAGTGCTTAGTTATCAAGTGGTTTTGTGGAAAGTGTAAGAAGCAATTTTAGCTGTTGCTAATTTTTTAATAGAATTTTTATTTGTTTTTTTCAACATAAAATTATTATCAAAGAAGTAGTTTACGAGAGAAGACAGAAATAATAGTCCCTATATGAATATCATTAAGAAAGTGTACATTCAGGTTCCATGAACCAAAATGAACCAACATTGATTGAAAGAAATAAAAGTAAAAACGCAGCTAAACATGGAAGCGGAAAGCCTACAGCTTTATCAGTTGAAACTGAAAAGTTAATGATTCATTTAATTCAATGTTTTGCAATTAAGGATATGGTTTGATACTAGCCTATATAATTTCTATTCTTTAATACTATTTAAAAAACACAAAACAAGGACATTTATTCAAAAATGGCAAGCCTTCATTACAGTTATAGTATGATTTTAAAGAGAGATGAAAACACGATGCAGTATTATTCTGAGCAGATAACGTTACATCAAACAGAATGTCATCTTGCACTTCCAATATAATTTTACCAATAAATATTTTAACAACAAAAATGAAGCCAAAATTAATAACTTAGAAGCTTCACATACTTGCGATGAGTGTGGTCTAATTACCTTCTTTCGTCGTTTATAAATCAAAAAGATACTTACACTAATCATGGTGCAAAAATCGTCCAACCGGCACAGTGTATACAAGATAAGATTCAGGATAAATGGGATTGAGTGGTTTGAACGGCTGTTAATATCAGCAGTTAAAGCGATTAGCGGAGAACACATACTTGTATTAGATGGTCACAGCACTCATGTATCATTTAAAGTTATTGAAATATGCAAAGAAAACAATTGGTCTTTCTATCAGTTCAATCAATTTATATTTTGCAGTCACTGGACGTTGGAAAAAATTGTCATGTTAAACTTACCTGGAAAAACGTATAATATATTATGAATCATCAAAATGCAAAAATGTTGATAAAGCTATTTTTCCTTGTTTTTTAATAGTTTTATATGAAATTAGTAAGTGATTCACCAGAAGACACACCGTCAGTGCGTTCAAAAAAATAGGGTTAATTCCTTTTAACAAAGAGCTAACTTCAAAATCAGCATTGGCTATACCAATGACTGCACAGTACTCATCAATTTTTTCAACACCATTTAAAGCAAACTTGAAAACATTTTAGATTATTTTCTTAACTAAGCTAAACTATGAGGCTTCAAATGTCTCACTGATCTTAAATGTTTGGTTGAGTGTCTTCTTAGAGTACTCATTTTTTGAATTTATTTGTGAATGTATTCTTAATTGGTCTGTTATTTTTTTTTTATCTATTACTTTTTATTAAGTTTGAACTAAAAACATTATATTTTTACAATAACAAGAAAAATTAGAATTTTATGACAGCATATCATATCATAAATACATAAAAATACAAATATATAAAAGGATTAAAATTGAAAACGAAAAAAAATAAAAAAATTAATTTAATTTTATAATTTAAAAAAATTTTGAATAAAAAAGAAACAATAACGCTAAGCAGTGTTTGCGTGTATGTTAATAACGCTAAGCAGTGTTTGCGTGTATGTTTTTAAAGGCAAATGTCTACTTACAGACATGGAACTGTTGAAATTTTGTTTTTTAACAAAAAGAAAGAAAAAATTCAACAGTGAGATGTTGTAAAATCTGTAATTTAGAAAATGTGTGACGTTTGAACCAAACCTAGAGTTTCTGATGCTGAGGAAGAAACGTTTATCACAAGATTGATAATATAATAAATACGAGAATATTGTGAACTCATACTTTGTTGCGTCATGTCATTTTGTGTTTGGTATTGCTCACCTAGGTGCATTATAAAAATTAACTAAAATTGATACAGATAAGGTTTTTCTAAAAAACCAACGTTTAGTAAAAAAAAGTTTATGTGTGTTGCGGACACCGGTTTTGTAAAAAATGAAAACATAACGAATTAAGAGCGCAGAAAGGGTTTTAGATATTATTTGCTTTATTTAGGGACGAAAGTGGCTGTGGAAACGGAACGTCTTTAGTGAGATATATAAAAGACATCTTGTAACTGCAATAAAATAAAATTAGAATAATCAATTTCAAAACAGTTCAAGGTCTATACATTAAAAATACCTTTAGTTCTACAAAATATTACTAAAGTTTTTTTTTTTAGTGGACTTTTCTTGTTTTTTCCTTGATGCTACTAAAGTTAGGTACTTCATTCTTTGCAAACAACTTTGAAAACTGGCAACAACCTATTTCTAAATTATAAGATTGAAAAGAACACTAAAAGTAGAATGAAAGTAATGGATAATTGTGCAGAATAGAGACTGAAAGTAGTGGATAATTGTGCAGAGCAGAGACTGAAAGTAGTGAATAATTGTGCAGAACAAGTAATTAACTTGGCTAAAATCTTTAAATTTCCTTTCACAAAGCTCAACATGCAGATACTTGAAGTCTTTTTTTAAATATAGGAAGCCAATTCAAGTGTTTTAAAAAACCTAAAAGTTGTATCCTACTACTTTGATAAAAATAAAAAAAACAAAAAGTTTACTTAAAAAAGTCTTTAAAAAAAAACTTTTGATAAAATTAGTTTGTAGGACTCAAGTTATTTTATTTCGAAAAAGCCTCCATATTAGTATTTGAAGATGATTTCTTTCTATGTAAATCGTCACATGATTCTAGTAATGCTGCTGATAACATTATTACATACGTTAGAAGCACTATTTCATCACTTTCATGGCTTTCCACTGTTAAAGAATGTCTTTCTTGAACTAAAGACTGCGTTACAAGGAAGTACAGCCTGCAAAAGTTTAATATAGCTTGGCAAGTTTTAATGCCAATTCGCATTAGAATGACAGATAAACATTTTGAAAAGCAGCTATATATTATGCAATGGAAAACCATTATAAACGTGTAACTCTTTAGTAATAAGCATATTTACATTTATGGATTGAGCACATGTCAAATTTTATTTCACGATGGTTTAAAATCTTATTTCTTGTATGTTAATGCTAGATGTATTCGTTTATGCGACGAGAAAAAGTATCTTTTACATTAAAAAGTTATTTCATCATACGGTATTTTTTATTTTTACTTAAGTATTTTGGTCACTAATTTATACTTTCACTTTCTAAGTCTTTTAACTTTTATTTAAGTATTTTAAAAATGTAACAATCCCAATCTAGCTTATTATTATAATAATTATTTAATCCAAGTTAATTTATTCAAATAATTTATTATTTTCAACACACAAGTTGATCATTTAGTAATTATTTTGCAGAACTCTAGTTATTTTCTAGTTCAATCTTTTAAAGAACTGAAGTCGGCTTTAGTACAATTGAGTACAAGTGAAACAAAAACAATCCATTATAGGACGGAAGGAACCGTTTATTTTTAAGTTTTAAATATTAAGACTTATAATTAGCATTAAAATTATAAGGTTTTAAATTTTTTGCAGACAACTTTTATCAATTAAGTAGCCGTGGTGTAATGGTTAAAGCTCTGGTTTTAGAACTGGAGGTCAGTAGTACGATGCCGGCTCTGGGCGAAAATACATTGTCGGTATAAAAAAATGTTCGGAGTATCGACTACCCGGTATTTGGAACAATCGAGAGTTGCCGAAATGCCGGTATTGAAAAAGTTGAATACCGTTATTTCGGTATTCAAAATAATTTCACCTTTCGAAATAATTATACAAAATTAAGTTGTGGTTATGTGACATAAATTTTACGTACTATAATAGCTGAATTAAAATATTATTATATAAAATTCCATAAGCAGGGCCGACGACACGGGTTTCGAAGTGGAGGGCGCACAATCTTCAATTTCTAAAAAAAGTCCTCTATATCTAGAAATTTTGAAAAAGTACTTAAGAAGAAAAAGTGGGGGAGGGGGGGCGGGCATCGTTCTGTCGGTTCTGAAACGTAAGTAAATATTTTTCTTTTTAATCAGAGTATGAATTATTTTATTAATTTTTATAAACTTTTTTATCGTTTTTTTTAAATTTTTTAAAAAACTCGTTTTACACCGATATAAATATTCCAGATTATGAGGAGCACTCCAAAAAGCAAATAATAAAAATTCACCATATTTTCATTTTCTAAAATAAAAAGCAGGACAGTGTGCTAAATGCTACTTATGTAAAAGGATAATAAAAACACATAGAGATTCTACAAATGGTCTTCATACCCATTTAAAAACAATTCATGAATTCAGTTTATTGAAAAGAGATGTAGGTTGCCCCTCTGATTAAAATACTTAAAAGTTTGTACAGAAATCAAAACCCTCTGTAACTATAAACATCTTTTTTTAAACGTGATAAAATAGATGACTCATTGCCAGCTATTTTAGCTGGGATGACTACGTGTGATGGTTTATCATTCAACATTATCTGCACGTCATATGATATCAGAAGAAGCATAACTAATATACCAAAGGATTGCATAACAATTCACAAAATGGTCTTGAATTACAGTAGAAATATACGAGACCAAGTAATTATAGAATTGTTGTGCTAAATTGCTAATAGTAAAAAAAAATTCTCTTACTGTCGATGAATGGACATCGGTAAGAAATAGATATAAATATGTCCACTCTCACAAAGAATTTCGGAATCTGGGATCGGTTTGTACTTTTGGAATAATTCCAGCAGAAAAATGATGGCGCTGCAGTTATGACAAAAGTTGACATGTTAATTGAAGCACATCAACAGCTCTGTTTAGCGCATGAGTTTCAGTTGTCTGTTATCAGCTTACTCTAAAGAAAATTTATTAATGAGGCTAGTCTGCATAATGAAGAAGATGCATTACATTTGTTATCACACCTAAATTTGAAAAAGAGCAGAATTCCACAGATGACGACGAACTAATTAATGAAGATTTTAAAAATGAAAATGGTTTACTTATATCTCCAGTGATAATGATAATGATAATTCTTCTTTTCTGCTACATCAGCAAATGTTACCATTAATTTAAAAAATTCGTAAATTTGTCATTTTACTTTGAACTTTGCCGACAAATAATGACAAAATACTACAAAAATATATAAAAAAAGAGTTCGGGAAAGAATTGTCTTTTGTTTTTAGACTCAAGAACACGATGGAATAGTTTGGTGTCTATAATTGAACGTTTCATGAAATTAAATAATTGCATCAAATAGAGTCTAATAGATTAAAATCACCTATTTTGTTTCAGATGCCGAGTTTGAAATGTTATCGGATATTCTTTCAGTTTTACTTCCCATTAAGCTAACAGTTGAAGCAATCTGCCGACAGGATGCAACTTTGTTATCTGCAGATGACTGCAGAGAACTGACCATCTATGTTCATTAAGTCATGAATTGAAAGCATCTTTAGAAATACGTATTCTAGAAAGGCGAAAAGAAATTTTAAGTGTTTTTCAATATTTAAACAATACAAAATGCAATGAAAATTCAAGAGATGATAAAGCCGACAAAGATTATAAATTATTTCCGATCATTACCAAAGTTGCAGACGATCTGTAGAGCATTTGCGATTAAACGCTATAGTTCTACAGATACAACATGTGAGTTGTATCTGTAGTCTGAGGCCAACTTGCATTATGAAGTATCCAGCACTTGTAGCAACACCATCTACTTCAGCCAACGTTTCAAATTCAGATACAAATATAATATTTAATGTCGATGATGATAAAGATAATCAAAAAAAATGAATTCTGATTTTACCAGAAAAGTTGGAGAGGGCAATATCAAAAAATGTTTGCACCAGATTACCTGAAAGTGGAATAGGCTAAAACTAAAAAGATCTTAAACGCTCATTAAAAAAATATCATTTTTTGATACAAATGAAATTAGAGACAAATACTTAACTTCATCTAATAACTATTTGCTAAGCATTCAACTGTGTAGAATCGGAGAGAGCTTTTTCGGCAGCTGGCTTAATCTGCGTCAGAATTCGGTCAAGAATGGGAGATAATTCGCTCAACAATCTATGTTTTAAGAGGTCTTATATCAACAACCAACTGAAGAAAACGTAGAACATTTATATTTTATGTTTTCTTCTTTTTCTTATGAATAATGTATAAATAACATTTTACTGAATTTTGCTTTTTTATTTTTTATTATTTAAATAAATAAATTTAGTTTTTTTTAAATTGCCAAACCATTTTAATTAAGCTATTTATTCATTTGTATTAATATAGGAATAATAATAATACCGGTATTATTACCCGGGATTACAAATTTTCAATACCGGTATTGGAATTTTGGTCCGGTATTCCCAACCCTAAATGGTAAGGAAGCAGGCGTGAACTTTCTGATTAAATGCTATTCTGCTCTGCTCTGTAATAAGATTGGTCTTAAAGAACTAATTATGTTTTATGCTAACTATGATATTTCAAGTACCTTTTGAAAATTAGGATTTGAAATTATTTTTTTTTTTAAGTTTTATTTAAGCCTTAGCTCATTTTTATTTTATTTTAGATTTAGTTCATGTTTATTTCATGATTTAATTATGTTCATTACAAATTATTGAACATTAAACATTAAATTTAAACAAACTATGAAACAAAGATATGTGTTCATTATTAATATTATTGTATTTAAGGAATATCTTCTTACATCAAACATTCAAGATATTGAAAACTCGGCCACACAGCGCAAACGAAAGCGAACCGTCACTCAAGACTGCCATAAACGTAAGATAAAAGAGATATTTCCCCTATCAGCAGATTCATCCTCAGGAATAAACTCATATGCTTTTAGAAATATACTGGTAAGATTGCATGACAAACAAATCATAATTAAGCTGAAAAAATTTTAAATCTTGCATATAAAGTGTTTTGCTATCACAATCTCACTCACAAATAACTATCTATCTATATATGTATGTATATATATATATATATATATATATATATATATATATATATATATATATATATATATATATATATATATATATATATATATGTATATATATATACAAACAACTATCTATCTATATATGTATGTATATATATATATATATATATATATATATATATATATATATATATATATATATATATATATATATATATATATATATATATATATATATATATATATATATATATATATATATATACATATATTTATATATATATATATCAAAAATATTTGTTTCTAAAACACTTAAGCTTATTATAAAGGTGAGATTATATATATTACTTATGTATTATATATATATATATATATATATATATATATATATATATATATATATATATAATATATATATATATATATATATACATATATTTATATATATATATATCAAAAATATTTGTTTCTAAAACACTTAAGCTTATTATAAAGGTGAGATTATATATATTACTTATGTATTATATATATATATATATATATATATATATATATATATATATATATATATATATATATATATATATATATATATATATATGTATATATATATATTTATATATATATATATATATATATATATATTTATATATATATGTATATATATGTATATATATATATATATATATATATATATATATATATATATATATATATATATATATATATATCAAAAATATTTGTTTCTAAAACACTCAAGCTTGTTATAAAGGTGAGTGATAAACATCAACTTCTATACTGCGTTACTCCGAAGGTTGCATGTACAAATTGGAAACGAGTTCTACTTGTTCTTGATGGCTATTTTAACAAACCTGATGAGATAAATTCTTCACTTGCACACAATTTTAGCACGGGATATTTTCGCAAACTTAGTGACTATTCTCCTGAAGAAATAAGTTTACGTTTAACAACGTATTATAAATTTTTATTTGTCCGTCATCCTTACGAAAGACTTGTTTCAACATTTAGAAATAAATTTGTAGAAACGAAATACAAGACATTTAAATTAATATATGGAAAGTATATTATGAGAAAGTATAGAGAGGTCAAAAATATTACAAATGACATCCGTTATATTGAAGGCGAAGGCCTCAAATTTGAAGAGTTTATCAAGTTTATTATTGATTCTCCGCTAGAAGATGCTGATTTTTGGAACGAACACTGGGAACGAATTGATAGGCTTTGTTTGCCTTGTTTGGTACAATATGACTTTGTTGGAAAATTTGAGTCACTTAAACAAGATGCAGACTATCTGTTGAGAACCCTAGATGTTGCTGATAAAGTAACTTTTCCAGAAAAACCTGACGTTCACTCTAATGAAAATTCAAATAAACTTATGAAACAATTTTTTAAATCAATATCGAAAGATATAACAGATAAACTTTACGAGTTATTCAAACATGATTTTTTAATGTTTAACTACAAAAAACCTCAATTTGATATAAATTAATGCTTATAAACAATTATCTTTAATATACCTTTTACCACGTGTGTCGTTGTACCAACGTTATACCAGCGTTGCTGCGGAGATAAAGAGCTCCAAAAAGAAAACTTTAATGTTAATTTATTTACCCACTAGACGCTGTTTTTAAATAGAAACCCATAAGACACCACCTACAAATAATTTTGAAGTAGACACTAGACGCCACTTTACAATTTGTGAGAAAGTATTTTTTTTAAATGTGTCATTTTTACAAAACCTTTTGCTCGTTTGCTTATTTAAGAGTTTTTGTGTCTCGTTTATTTGTAATCTATTTTTAGTAACATTACACACAGAAATATATTAAAAAGGTTGTAATTAGAATACTTCTTATGCTTTCGGGTTTGACCGTTTCTAAAATGGAAACAAAATGTAAGTCTTAATTATTTCTTAAACGTCCTTAAATATACAAAGCTCTCAGATAAAATTTCTGATATTTGAGCGGAATAGTAAGCGGGTGTTTAACTATAAATTTGAGTTATAAAATTGAGAAATATTAAATGTAATTTTATTTGGTGGGTAAACTGTAATAAAGAAACGTAAGATAGTTAAATGTAATCAAGTTTTACTTTTTTTAATTTTCAAATCCGTATTGTTAATGTCGGTTCCTGAATATCAATAAATGGTTAATTTCAAGTATTTTTTTCCCTTAAACAACTGCAACATTAATCCTTCTTTAATTAGTTTTTAATTAAACATTAATCCTTCTATTTCAAATTTGATGTGGGTTATTTTATCTTAAAAACATAACACCCAATTGACACGTAACGTTCAAAAGACGTCTTATTTAGATCCCGTGCCCACTGGATAGTGCACAAATGTTCAGTTTTAAATTTCTTGTAAGTTTAAAAGAATTAAAAAAAAACTTTATTCATTTATAACTCTCTTTTTTTATTTATAAAGGATATAAAGTTTAACATTAGATTCTGAAAATGTTTTTAAAAATCACGATTTTCGCAATGTTTGAAATGTTTAGCCAAACGCTAATATTGGAAGTCTTCTGTGTTAAAAACAGTGGCCTACTAGATGGCTGTTCCTGCACTAAATTCTTTAAGCAACTTCTGATTGCTACCATTAGAGAAGGTCTTCTGTATATATGGGTGAAAACATCCTTTCAAGGTTAAATAAAATAGCTATGCCTCTTAATATGAAAATTATTACATTTTAAATTGAAATCCGCAGACTAATCCTTCATTATGCTATGTTACTCTCATAATTTTCTTTTACTTTCGTAGAGGTTGTTACACTCAGTACGCGCTTTTAATTTATTTTACTTAAATTTAGGTAAAGTTAATTACAGGGGGCCGCATTTTACATGCAAGTATTGCAAGTTTATTCAATAAGAAAATTCAAAATAATGCTTTTTATTTAGACTTAATTTTGTAGAACTCTGTCTCAATGAATTCTGTCTCAATGAAAATAAATTTTCTTTGTGCTGTGTAAGATTGTTGCCGGGCACCCACCCGTTATAAACTGCCGGAGTAGTATTACATAAATGACGGGTAAGCATTATTTGATAAGTTTAAAAGCCATTTTTTTTATGTTTAAAGTATAATTGTAAAATCTTAAAGATTTTGTAATTAAAAATTTCAACGATTTTTGTGCCATTTATCTGTAAACATTGAACGGAAACATTTAGGAAAGTTATTTGAGTATAAGAAACCCACTTAGTATTCTTCACGTGTTTTCTCTGACGTAAATTAGAACTCCTCTAACTCCAATTGTGTTTTTAGTAATGATTTTAAATACATAAATATGAAAAATAACAATAAAAATGCATGTAAGTGCATATCTGGACATATAAAATAATTTTATTGCATATGTCCATATATGCATAATAATTATCTTGCTTGCAAATTAAGCCATCGATACAATTATTTTTAAGCTCATTTAAAAAAATCCCGTTAAGCTAAAATGGAAACTTAGGATATAAATGAAAAAAGGAAAACTTTAAATAAATAACATCATTAAATGAAAAGCTTTAATTGACTGTTTATAAATACCACTTTTACATAAAATACTTTTTTTTAAAGGGTAACTGTGTACACACCCGTTCGTTCAACACGAACATTTTTCACAATTTTCGATAGCTTTTTATTCGCAGGAATTTTCACAATTTTCGACAGCTTTTTAAGAACACAGCTCTAATGCTGTGTTCTTAAAAAATAATTGTGTTTGATTTATTCAGTGTCCACAGCCTTTAGACTACGCAATTGAAACATAAGAGTTCAAATTGAGGGATAAAAATTATTTTACATACAGTAAACTCCCACTTATTCGAGTTTGCCGCTTATTTAAAGCAATTTTCATTCCCCGTAAATTTTCCCTAACTAACTCATGCAAATATCCATTAGTTATTCAAACTAGCAGTTATTCGAAATTTTGTTTATTCGAAGTACTTTTTTGCTCCCCTTGTCTAATACCCCGTCAGTTACTCGAAGTTTTCCTTCTGCTCAAGATACCATTGCATTGTATTTTAAAATATAACTAAATCGAAAGTAATCAAAATATATGTATGTATTAGGACCCTGCGAATCAGCATTTTTGGTTTCGATTCGAATCTCGAATCGAACCAGGTCTTGATTCGCAAATCGAATCGAATCACGAATCGAATCAACATTTTAAGGAAATCTAAATTTAAGCATTTTTTCCATACTATATATTTCAAAAAATAAAAGATCATATTCACCAATTCTATTCCTTGCAACGGCTTGAAGCTATTTAAAGGTACTCAACATTTACATTGCATTCCAATTCACATTAAAAATAAAAAAGAAAGAAAAAACATCGTTTCCTGGTAAAAAAAAAAAAAAAAATAAAACATGATAAAATAAAAAAGAAAAGGGTTAAAATATAATATCTTTATTTTTTGCGCCCAAATTAATGTTTCCGCATTATTATTAGATAGAGAATGACGTGAATAATTTATTACATGACCACCAATTGAGTTGACTCTTTCAGAAGAACAACTTGTTGCTTGTACAGCTAATACAGATCGAGCTGCCTGCGCAAGAACAGGGAAAATATTCTCGTTTTTTTCCAGTATTCTAGAGGGCAGTTATCACTGTTTATGGTTTGCGAACAAACGTAAATACCAATTTCTGTAACTATGCAATCTTCAATGCTTTTTTTTTGTAGAATTTTGCTGTTTTTCAGATTCTTTTTCTTTAAATTGATTAAATACAGCCTCAAGTAATTTTTTTGGTAGTTTTTCAATTTTGTTGTTATTTATAGAATTTAAGCAAGGAGTGATTTCGCATAGCTTAAAATCAACTGACATTTTAATTTTGGTTTTTCACAATTAAAAGCTCGTTTTCAGTGTGCATTACGGCTTCAAACCTCGGGCCTAAATATGTTGAGGTAAGTAGCGTAACATTTGCTAAATTAAAACGTGCATGTAGTTGCGAAAGTAACTCCTTTTTAAAGCTGCTCATAAAGCTACAACTTAACGAATCTAATTGATTTTTTAAAGTATAAATGCAAGGTTTAACCAAACTAATAGCGGCAGTGGTATCAGCACTTAGTAGCGTTGTTGCATCCGATATTGGTTTTAAAAATGGAATGCACTTTTTTTGAATATCTTTCATCACCTCCTATAGAGCTTGAGGAGGAGATTTTGCGCACCTACCCCTTAAAGCGCATTCCGTAAGTGCCATTGTTATTGCCGTACAATTTTCAAATGACCAATTCAGAAGTTTAAATGTACTGTTAAACCTGGTTACAATATCAAGTGGTGGACAGGATTCTCGAAGTCCTTGTTCAAGTTGATGTTTCTTTAAACATATTAGGCCTACAGTAGAACTGTTGAAAAAACCTGCAATTTTGTGTATTAAACTAATAAGGTTTTTTACTTGCTGTTGAACATTCAAAGCACTCTTGATGCATAGTTGAAGAACATGTGCAGCACATGGCTGCCATGTAATTCCTAAAAGACTAACAGTGGCAGACATTGCGTTTGTTGTTTCTGTGGTTGCACATAGAACATTTTCTATTTCATTATTTGAATATTGAAGTTGATTAATAACCTCTTTTGTTTTTTGAGAAGTATGATCTGCATTAATATCTTCAAGATTTACCACAGATAAACAACGCGATTTTAGCTTCCATTCTGTTAGAGTTATATAATGTACCGTTAAAACTAAATAGTTGCTATTATTTGTAGCTTTCCAATGATCAAAAGTAATGGAACATTACAACCTGACATTTCCGTAAGTATTACTGTTTTAAATTTACTTTTCGACACTGTTTTTAAGTCATTTATCTTACGTGAAAGAGTAGATGGATGGAGAGGTTTATAATTTTTATTACTAAGAGTTGAACACAATTTTATAAAACCCTTACCAGTCGAAGTCTCAAAAGAACATTCATCTGCAACAATAAATTCCAATACAGCTTGGTCAAATATTTTCTTGTGTTCTATCGAGATGGGTTTGTTAAGAAAATCTGACATAACGCTTTGCTTAGATTTTTTTAAACAAATGCTTTCCGAAACATTTGGTTTCGACAATTTGCGTTTTTTTGCTCGATCTGTTTCAACTTGAGTATGAAGCGTCTTGTGCTTTCTTTCCAAGTGACTCCAGAGATGTGATGTTGTGCCAGAGCTTTGTGCACGTAAAGTGGGTTTGCACGTTTTACATAAATAAAACTGATCTTTTACTTCAAAGTACGACTTAATAATTCTCGCCATTGCATAAATAAAAAATATAGGTAATTTTAAAGAGTTTGCGAAATCAAAAATGAATTTTAAATAAAAACGCTTTTTAAAATAATTGTTTTCCAAATAATAAACGTGCAACAGATGTTTTTGATTCGTTTCTTTTTAGAACATCAACTTATAAAAGAATGTTTCTTAAATTCAATTGCTCTTTGTGAAATAAATGTACAAAAATCAAAATAACAATTGTAATTTTTAAAAATAGCACGGTGGAGTTTTAAAGTCTTTGAAAATAATACTTTTACATTACAATTGAGGGGTGATTTTTTAATCTATGGATCATCCATATTGTGTAATGGTAATTTTTCATCCATAAAGTGTAATGGTAATTTTTCATCCATATTGTGTAATGGTAATTTTTCATCCATAAAGTGTAATGGTAATTTTTCATCCATATTGTGTAATGGTAATTTTTCATCCATATTGTGTAATGGTAATTTTTCATCTATATTGTGTAATGGTTTTTCCTTATAAAAAGAAGTAGGAGGTTATTGGTTTTTTTTGCACTAGGAATTTTAAAGTATTAAGGCGCTTTATATTCAACGACAATCTCCGTGCAAGAGAGCTAATGATCTCCTTCCAACCTTCAATTAATTTTAACGCA